GTGCTGCTCCCCAGACACAATCCTGCCCAGCCATCCTGCTGCCTCTCCCAATAGGGGACTGACACTGTGCTGCAGATGTGTCCCAGGTGATGCTGGCACAGCCACCTCTGAGCCTGGACTGAGGATGATGCAACTGGATGCAGTTCCCCAAACCCTGGCACAGCTGCCACACTGTTGCCTAGGGAGGCTGGTGGCAATCCCACTGTAAGCTCTGTCCCCTTCTACAGCTCAGCTCCTGCCACTCTGCAGCTTCTGGAGCCAAGTGGGGACCTGGCTGCATACAGGATTGATGTTGGAAAAGGGTAAGGCCATTGAAAATGTGTAGTAGTTTGTAAATTTGCCAGGAAAGGTGCAATGGAGCCCAGCAAGCACAAGCTGGGCCTTAATAGGAGCAGATGAAAACCGAAGATGTTTAAATGCAATCAGTGCAAATACCTGTTGGGAAATGATGGATGCCCTGTCAGTTTAAGGCTTTGCAACAAAAAGGGTGTCATTTCCCACAAGATGCCCTGCACCACCCAGGAGCCCTGCGTGTTACTGCAGGAGGATCTTTGGCTTATGCCAGGGTGCAGACACAACTCTGCCCCAGCCCTGCAGCCAGAGAGGTGTAGAGCTGTGGGGCTGAGCAGAGCCCAGATGCCTGCATATCTATCCAGCCACTGATGTTATCACTGTTGTAAGTGTAAACAAATGGCTTCAGATCAGCACCTTTAGCTACATAAACCAAATCCTGAGGAAGGAAACAGATGGAAATAGGAAAAGCTTTAAATAGGTAAACTGCTTGCTGTTGTTGTGTTGGGTTACACTGGTGAAGATATGGGACTGCTGAGACCACTGGCTGCAAAACAGGCAGTCCTGGAGATCATCAGTTTTCCCTGGATGTGACTAGACAAGTGGTGCCAGCAGATAACGCCTGGGGAGTATGTCCCTGTGTCCTCTCCGAGGGATTTCTGCCGTGGCCTCCTGCACTGGGGGCACAGCTCTGCTGCTGGCTCCCTGGCTGTCCCTTATCTCCCCACGCAGACCTGTGCCCTGACCTCACGTGAAACCAAGCCCTGTGCCTGGGCCATGGATAAAGGGTGGGCCAGGTGATGGGACCCCCATCCAGTGTCCTCACTCCTCGCATGGCATGGTTCACTCCAGCAGCTGAACTCGTTTGAACTGCTCAGCCAAGTAAGTGATGCAAAGTGCTTTTACTTGCTCTTTAAAATGTGCTGGGAGGGGTGGCGGGGGGGGGGGCTCTTGATCATTTCCTTGCAGCAAGGAGCAGGAGAGGCTGCAGTGCCATAAACTGGGGGCATCCCTCAATGACCCTGTGCTGCTGGAGAGTAGGACAAGCAAGAGACCACACAGAAGGTTTTAAAATGTCTTTGTAGTTCAAAACTGTCTATTTTCATCTCCACACACCCAGTCCAGCCATTTCCACCTGCACATTTCACCCATTGTGCTGCTCTTGCAGCTGAAGTGAAGCAGGCACTTTTACACCCGCAGCCCCAGCTCCTCCACCCAAGTCTGCCTGGAGAGAGGATAGGTAGGGATCAGCAGTGGCTTCTGCCCTAGGGA